AAGTGATTAAAAATTTCGTTTTGGTAATTATATTACTGAGTCGAAATATCAAGCACCTATTGTTACATTGGAAAATCAGATAGGACAAGGCTATGGAAATATGCGTCATCATTCATTTGAATTACAAAACATTTTCCATCTATTAGGAAAGTTCTTAATAATTATGTACATGGGTTTTCGTCAACTCTTACTCTCTTTCACATATGGCTATGTCAATAATTACATTAATCACTGTTCATTCATTCAGTAATATCTAAAAATATATAAATATCTATTCTGTAAGGAAATATATTTATAACTCTCCACTAACCACAGTAAGTTCAAGTTCAATATTCCTCGACATAAATTTGGTGACTGAAGGAGTGAGTCACATTATACGTAATTCGTATACCGCTAAACATCACTCATTCAACTGCTTTAATGCATTGTACAGTATCTTCAAAATTTTAAACTTATATTAAATTTTAAATTTGTTTAAATTTTTATACTTATTTGTGGGAACAAGAGACTGTATTCAATTGACTTTGGTGTTCTTTAACGAAATATACAGGGTCTTGATAAATCTTTCGTAGCATTAGCAATACCAGTATAGAAATATTAAAAAAATACATTTCGCTGGTGAATTATGAAAATTGAGAAGACTAATAAAGTCATAATTCAGTGGATCACCTTGAGTACGGGTTCATAGCTCTTTACATCTAGTTAATAAAAAAAAATAAGACCATTTACAGGATTTTTTTTCGAAGAGGATATAAATACAATGTTAGGTATTTTTTGCTATACAGGGTATTTGGTAGGTAGATAGAAATTTTAAAAGGGTGATAGATGAGGTCATTTGGAATATATTACACATTATATACACCTATATACAAAGTGTTACCGTTTTCCAGATATTAACAATTTTCTCGCCTGTTTTTGATGATAATTTGAAAATTTTATTATAACTCTACAGATCTGCGTGACTAATTATTACATATGTAAAAAATTAACACGAAACAAATACGAAATACTGAAAAGTTTAATGTTGATGTTCAAAATAGGAAGTATCGTTACTTATGTAAGCTCTGGTCGGTTTTCTCATTTGGGTAGGTAGTAGTAATATTTAATGTAATTTCTTGTCTTACTTGTTGAAATGCTTCATTGATTCTTTTAATCAAGTGAGCGCGGTTTTGAATCTCTACATGGTAGACTATGTTTCACTCTGGGCCACAAGATGAGCCTACTCCTACGAATTCAACGATTAGGAAAACTGTCATTTAAAAAATCAGTTCAAACTAATTTTTTAAATATTTTTTCCCTATTTTGTTAGTGTCCAATTAATTCAATTTACTTTAATTTAAAAACAGAAGTCGATACTTATTGGGTTAAAGATCTAGGGCTTACACAAGTTCAGAAAACTTAGTTTCGAGAAAAACACGTTTACTATACACATAAAATTCGTGTTTACCACGCGTGTATGGAAACTATGGAAACGACTACAGAAAAATATCGCTATGTACAGTCACTTAAATCAATTATTAAGACAACCGCCATTTATATTATTTACATTTATTTCGCAATGACAAAATTCTAGAGAATCGAATAAAAACCTAAAAAGACAGCCCTAAAGTAGGTGCCCAATTGATAAAACGTATAAAAATAATTTTGAAAAAAAAAACGTTTGAGTACTATATTCTACATGTTTATCTACCAAAATAAGATTTATTTTTTATTTTTGGGTTGTTTCCTGTAAATACCCCTTAACATAAATTCGAATGATTTTTTGAAAAAATTTTCTAGAAAGGTAATTTTATATCTGCCACCTGTAATGCCATATTTCCTGCTATGGTAAATTGACACCAAATTGAACACTGAAATTGACAATATTTAATCCGATTTCATTTGATCACAATTATATTGCAATTAAATTGAGAATTGTAGCCATCTCAAACTACGGTGATAAAACATACCATCATTCACTCCTGACGTTATTGCTTGACATCTATAATATGGCAAGTATCAACTACACCTGTATCCAATGAACATATTGGCAATTATTTATTAAAAAAAATTAAATTTAAAATTTAAAATTTTGCTTTTAAAAGAAAATAGTATACAGAGAATTATTACATTGTTATTATTATATTACATTTTATTATTAACATTTAAATCAGTATCTCTAAATTGCATAAACCTTTTATACCAGATTATTAGTATTTTAAGTATCAACACTTTTGACTACTTTTACGTAGTTATTTAGAATATTTCATCTTCATTTTCTTGGAACAGTGTCTTCCACGAAATAATAAAATTACAAGTACTGCTATATTTATATTTAAATGTAATTTAATATAACATATTTATATATCAATGAGTACGTAGGTACCACGAATTTGTAGATAAATAACTGTTTAAATAGAATGTACAGTAATAAAAAAGTCACGTATCTAAATTTACCATTTGCAAATATTTACAAAGTTACGCGTATTTTCCTTCTCATTCGGTTTCACTGAAACCATAGAAAACAGTAAATATTGACAATATGACATCTGCACGTACTGCAAATTTCAATTTTTGATAATATATACATACATAGAAATTTAATAAACAGATAAATTTACCGATAGAAAAATCTTCCTACCGCAATTTATCGAAATAATATTTATGAAATAAACTCATTCCCTATGTAAAATATTACAGGTTGCTGCTTAAATACATTTCGTAAACAATGCGGGTGGTCCCTCGGTGAATGCTAAAAAAAAAAGTGTTTGTAAACATATGTCCAGAGCGGCATAGTTTCTGATTAAATTAAAATTAAATTTTAGGTCAATTTTATCTGACAGGAAACGAAGGAGTAATTTATTGAAATTTGGTACAATATGTGTTTTTATACAACTTCATTTTTTTGTGAAAAAATGTTTAATATAAATAGGAAATAATGGGGTGGCTAAATGAAAGGCTCTGAAAGTTCCTGTTGTTTAGTAAACTAGAGGTTTATCTTTGGCAAAAACTATCTCAAAAGCATCCAACAGCGGCTCCAAGAACTGGAACTTTTTGTGAAATGTACTAATATTGAAAAATCTAAAACAGTAGAGGGTGCACTATATTTCCCCCCACTAATTTATTTTCTGTTTTTAGTGTTATAAAAAAATGTGAAATGTATAAGTCGCACGATTTTTATGAAGTTTTCTAAAATGATTGTAGAAAAACAAATTAAGTCCAAACAAAATGCCGCGGATATTAACTTTGTTAATTTAAATCGAACATCCTGTATATTATTACATATTTGGATAGAACGTTCCCTGTCGAGGATAGTTATATAGGATTTGTTGGGTCCTTTCTAACAATAAGCGAGACAGTATTAAAAAACGAAAACAAGGTTTTTTATTAAGAAAATGGGATATCTTGCAATGGTTAAACCCCTTTCAGGCATTTTATGGAAATCCTTACGTAACTGGAAAAAAGGCAGAAATGCCTGAAAGAGATCTAACAATTACAAGACATATTATTTTGTTAATAAAGACACCTTCTTTTTGTTTTTTAATAGTATCTCGCTTATTGTTAGAGATGGACCGAAGAAACCCTATATAACTATGCTCGACAAGGAACGTTCTATCCAAATATGTAAAAATATACAAGGTGCTTTAAATTAACAAAGTTAACATCCGCGACCGTTTTATTTGGATTGCATTTGTTTTTCTACCACCAGTTTCGAAAACTTCATAAAAAATCATGCAACTTTGATATTTCACATTTTCACAATACTAAACACTTTTCTAAATTCTGATCAAGTGATATATACTCTTTGATCTTATCTGGATATGTTTGTAATTTTATTTAATGATTGCAAAATATAGGTATATGTATATTTCATTAGCATTTTGTTATACTTCATTTGAAGAAATGTTTATACTTAATCTGAATTAGAATAACACATTTAAGCTACATAAAAATAATAAAAAAATAACGCTTCAAAATATAATGTTTTTTCTCAGAATACGCAGAAAAGTGTGGTTTTAAGTGGCTACCGTGTACTTTTTATTGTATTCGCAATAAAAGTGTTTCGTTATGCTTAAAATTGCGGTAAATAGGGAATATAAAGGAGAATGCATTTTATACATAAATCCGTTTATTGTAAATTAAGTAGCTCAGATGAAATGTCTGTAAGAGGTTTTTGCACATTGTTTATAAACTGAAGTTGGGTGCTTTAATTTATTTACTAGTTTTCAAAGATATATATAGTGCAACACATATAATACCTCCGAAGATTTGCTCTGCCTTCAGAATGCATGAATCGAGAGATATTAAAAGTAAAATATGGACAAATTCTGTATATTGAGTTTTTTTACTATCTCCCGCTTGAAATTCATTTGAAAACATGTAATATAAGAGAGTTTATTTATTTATTTTATTTAATTCACCCAACGGGAAGGAAACCCAATTATAAGCTAGCAATACAACAGTTTTTGTACACAATAAAATTATAATAAACAGAACCGAACAGAAGTACCTACAAATAAAAATGTTTATATTGAAAAAATATAGTTCTGATTGCATAAAAAATATAACAAAATAACAACGTGTATATACATTAATAATGAAAGGGTAATAAAAATTATCAAAATAGAAACAATTAATTATGTTAAAAAAATAGAGATGTCAGTCATCTTGAAATAATTTCACTAGGTATATCAAATCGATCGAACATAAAATTGTTTAAAAAAAATGCTTAGACCCGGCGATCACTGTTAATAAACCTGTATTGGCTGTTATTTGGAAAAACATTATTTCCAAATTTATATTTTTAGAAATTTCTGTTTAGCTTTATTTTTTCCAATTTCGTGCAATAACGAGAATATACCACTAATCTTGTCATTTCGCTGCTTTAAGCGGATGCTGTGTTTACGGAGCTTGCAGGAATATGACTACCAGAATTAGAACGAAGACGTAAGTAGGTAGAAGTGGTGGTGGCAAAACTTGGAAGGAACGAGTGGAATTTCCGCAGCGTAGCGTTAACTATGTCAATAGTAATAGTAAAACATATATATACAGTACAGAACACGTGGTGTTACTCTGATATTCTCACCGCTAAAATGAAGTTCAACGCATTAATCAGTTTATTAGTTTTACTAATGGTTCTGTTATGTGTGTCTTGTGGGGTGGTTATACCTAGTCATCGACAAGGTGTTGGCCCATTCTCGAGAAAATGTGATGTGGGCTACATATTCATAAGAGGAAAATGCAGAGAAATGCTGAGATAGAGGTAGATATTTTACTTTTTACAAAGTGTCTAACTTAAAACTGCAACTTTATGAAGTGTTCTTAAAATAAATAAAATTATTGTAGCTACTGATTATATTTAGGAAAATTTCTGTCTACATTATTAAATATTGCAATATGTGACTTAGGTATGTATTTAGGAGATTATATACAATTATTATATTATCGTAAATCATAAATGTGCATGTCGAAATAAGTAGGCACTGATAATAGTGATAACGTATGTGTAAGATTTTATGTACCCGTACAGAGTGATCTATAATTATGAATTTGTTGTCATTTACTTTGATATTAAGGATTTTGAATATAATAAAATTTAGACATGTAAAAATTAAAAAAGAAAAAGAATTGTAGGTACGTCAATTTAAAAGAACATGTCCGAAATATTGTTTTTTTGGAAGAACACGCCAGAATTTTTTGTCACTTATTTGTTCCACTTCGTCACTTTTTTATATATACGGGGTGATTTCACTTTGTATACAGAAACTATTGAACTAGATTCACTAACAAAAAATAATATCCTACTTACCTACTTTGCTTTATTATCCAAATATGGTTTGAAGGACAAATTAATAATTAAATGGAGGATTTCGGTTGGAGAAAAAATAGCATGTTTTATTCGGATTAAAAGTGTCTTTTATGTCTTGCAATTTGCTCGTCACACAAGTAACACTTTTAATCCTAATATAACAATAACCTATTTCGAGTGTTTTTTTAAATTAATTATTAAATGAAAAATCAAGAGAATGCACTGGCATAGATTTGCGTAATTTATTTAAATTTTGCGAGTTTTATTGTCAATTCGCGGGCGACAAGTGTGATTACCGCACGCAAATGAATAGAGTAGGCAAATAGGTAAACAGCTACTTACCGACCTAAAAAACAAGCGAAAAGATAGGACTTATCCCGCATGAGTAATAAAAACTTATTTACTCTTATGATTTCCATAAAATATTTCCACCGCTAAGGTTGTTGTTATAGCAACAAAATAAATGTTTGGAAACTTATCTTTATGGCATTTAGAAATAAATTTGTTTTTTCTAATGTATATCAAATCGTAAATTATATTTTTACTGTCCTTGCTAATAAAATTACATACACGAGAAAAAGTAATAGATTCCCACCTATCGTATTTCGATAAAAATATATTTTTAATATTCTTGGACATAATGCGAAACCACTCAATATGGTTCATAAATTTAAAATTTGATTACGCAGTTCTCAATATTAAATAATGATTATTTTAGGGTGACACCAGCAGAAGTCTAAGTACAGCAATTCTTAGGCATTTTCGTCCTTGAAAAAAATTATTTTGGCTGTAAATTTATGATGATTAGACAAATAGTATCAAAGTAAATATGTATATATCATTGTAATCCGAAAAAGAGAAAAACACAACAATTCTAAAAAAAATACTTTATATTTTTAAAATAAACCAGTCAATTATTTTTTATACACTTCTCTGCAAACACAAAAAACATTTCCTCTAAAACTTTGGACTTTATTTTCTCTACACGGAAAGATAAAAATGAAGGGTAAAATATTACGAATCACCCTGTACAAAGATAAATAAATAGGAGCAACAAAAATTTTATGTGAAAGTCCTTATCGTATTTTCATTCCGAAAATAGACCGCTTGTTCGCACGGTATTATTTTTAACAAAAATTGTAGTATTTAGCGCGTCTATTAATAACCTGCATGTTGAAATAAGATTAATGTAGATTTTCTTTCGTTTTAGGGCCTAACAACATTGCAAATCTCTCACAGGGCACAACTTAAAGGCAACAGTATTAATAGATTTTAATGTTTTATTGAAGAAGAAAAAATATAATAGTTTGAATTGTGTTTATACTCGTATATTGTAAGGTTAAGGTTTCCAATTCAGTATTGTTAATTTATTTGTTGTTTTCCTTTAAATAAAATGTAAATTAATGTTTTTTTATTTTAGTAGCCTTTAATTAAATTTAATTAAATCCTAGAAAAGTGTAAAAACGTAACTTTACATTATATATACAGTGTTTGGTAAGTCGCTGCATTCCTTGCAGGAGGTTATAGTACAAGTGATTTGTGATACATTTCCTTAATACCATTTTCCGAAAACGCTTATTTTCCGATGCGAAATTAAAAATATTGCGGAAACCGCTCAGAATATTTTAATGAAATTTTACAGGCTTTGAAGTTAACAACAATACACGTTTCACGATAAAAATATTGTTTTCAGTTTCACCAGTGGAGTGCGCACAGGCTCGTTTCTGGATATTTTTAAAGAAAAAAATGATACGCCAGTGACTTTTCTAAAAATTCCTTGTTCAATTTGGAAAAGAAAAGGTATTTTGTCTGATTTTATTATAACGCACCGTTTTCGAGTAAAATAATTAAAATCGATTTATTGCATGGCGTAATCCGGTTTCAATAATTTAAAAATAGAAATTATGCACTTACTTATTTCTGTACCTACCAATTTTATTACAACACGTTATTACTAAAGTGACAGCTATTATTAATTTGTTAAACAATAACAAAAACGAGTGCACAGCCAATCTGCTAATTTCTGTTATAAGATAGTGAATAGTGAATCTAAAAACTGATAAATTTTTTTAGACTTACGTGAACTGTGAGGAGTAATCACTTTTTTGTAATAAAATTCATACAAAAAAAACTGAGTGCAAAATTTCTGCTATTTTTCAAATTATTGAAACCGGATTACGCCATGCAATAAATCGATTTTATTTTATTTACTCGAAAACGGTGCTTCATAAGAAAAACAGTCGAGATACCCTTTCTCTTCCAAATTGAATAAGAAATTCAAAACTAATTTTTATTTTAAGAAAAATAGGTGGCGTATCATTTTTTTCTTTAAAAATATCCAGAGACGTGCCTGTGCGCACGCCACTGGTGAAACTGAAAACAATATTTTTATCGTAAAACGTGTATTGTTGTTAACTGTCAAATCCTGTAAAATTTTATTAAAATATTCTGAGCGGTTTTCGCAATATTTTTAAATTTGCAGTTTTTATTAAAACTTTAACACCCTGTAGATCGGAAACTAAGCGTTTTCAGAATATGATATATTAAGGAAATATATCACAAATCAGTTGTACTACAATCTCCTGCAAGGAATGCATCGACTTACCAAACACCCTGTGTACAGGGTGTCCCAGAATAACGGAGGATTAGTTGACTCAAAATAGGCAGATTTAGAGATTTATACTCGGCGGCCGAAATTATAAAGAGTGACTAATACATAATATAAAAACTCTATTACCATAATGCGTATAAAATATAAAATGATTTCTATACGGTTCAATATTATTTATCTTTGTACCGCTCGCCATGCACATCGGTAGAATCTATAATCGTGTATAGACTGAGTTACACTGAACGTCGATCTATATTTTATCTCTGTCTTTTGCACTTGGTAGGGAATAGGGAAATGCTTTTTTAGTGGGTGTAAACGGACTTGATTTGCCCGACCTGAGAAACGTCATAGCATAAGCGTAGACGAGGGGTCTAATTCTATGGCTATAATAAATTTATAAATTAAAAAACCACAACTGGGACGTTTTAAAATGCTGTAATAATTAAAATTGATCAAAGTGCCGGTTATAGCAAACCGTAAAAAATATTAGATGTTATGTTTTATTATGTTTTTTCAATATTTTCTATATCTTCTTGCCTTTTACGCAGACACGCCAATGGATTTTCGTTCCCGGCATGCTTCATCCCCCTTACTAGTCCAAGAGCTAGCGATGAATCACTATCTATAATTTTGGCCGTCGAGTATAGGCTATTCACTTATATCCGAAATCGCTTCGTTGGGCCGCTAGATGGCTTCAAAATTCGTGAATTTTTTTTAAATTTTGTAAATAACTCGATTAATCGATTTTGAATATTTTTAGGGTGTGTACTTTTACTTTCAATTTACACATTTTGGTGTTATACAGAGTGTTTTTTAAAACCTGCAACTCCTACAAAATTGACGTATGGTGATAATATCCGTTCATAACTTTTTCCTCTTTCGGGTAATATTGACAATTATTTATTATCTGAGAGCTGATACGATTTGGAAGTTTTTGGGCCTCTTGTAGAATTTTGATTAAATGAACGGTTTGGGTAAAACAAAATTTTTTAAATATGTATCTACATTATCGTGCCACTCATATTATAATGGTTAACAAAGTGTTAGTAGGCACTGATTTTGTAGGTTAACTGTAATTTCAGTCTGATCTTTAACTCTTTGTACCTGACAATTCTTAGTGAGTGTTTACGACGATGAGATGTACCACCTGTTCCTTCATTTTTCCATATGGATACACACACATACGACGAATTAGAATTATTTACAACATGCCTAATTTTATTCAAAAAATTGAAGTTATTCTGGGACACCCTGTATATTGTAATGAATTTGAAATGTTTGTTTAGAAACTCATGAAAATATTGCCTGACCGAACTTAAAGTCGTATAAAAATTTTAATTATTATTATAGCTAGGTACACCAAATTTGTATAAAATTGTTAATATGGATATTCTGGATATAAAACTAGTAATGATCAATGATATTACATAGTATAAAAATAATAATTTTTTAATTTTATTCTCAAGTACAGAATAAATTTTCATAAAATGCATGAAATCGACACTTGTTAGTACTCAGTACATAGAGAAAAACTAATCTAATCCTAGAGTGACTTATATCGAATGAAAGTTTAAAGTCTGTAGATTAATCTGGTATACAACTCGTTGGAAGACGAGTAAACCTAAAGAAGATATTTCAATCCAACATAAACCATAACATGAAAATTTTCATCAATTGTCAAATTTTATAATAAATTTCACAAATGTCAAATCTAAAGGTGGCTTTGTAAGAATACCCGGAGATGACCTAAAAAACATAAAATAAATAATATTTTATTAATTACTTTATAGAATTGTATATATAAATAAAAGGACATCTGTTAAAAATGTATTAGTTATATAAGTAGTGTTGTAAAAAAGTGATTGAAAAGGATATCCAAAGACTGAAAAATTCTGTGTATGGACCTTAAGCAAAGCTAGGGACAGAATTTTCAGGAAGGATGAGAAAAACAAAAAAATATTGATTAGTTACGGCTTGGGTTTTGCAAGATGTACAGCGTGGAGAGGCAGCTCCCGAAAAATTAAAAATAAAGCAAGAAAAAACAGTCCAAGAAAGAAAATTAAACACTTACCAGTTAAATCCACAGTTTGCCAGAGTCCAGAGAAAGTTATTTTGTCATCCCATGAAAATTTTCCGCTACCAGCAGTATAAAGCAGTTCCAAAGCAGTTTCCAGTGGCCCCATAAATAGTCTACAAGGCCTCTACGTAGTTTTCAGCAAAGAAAACTTCAAATTTTACAACGTACCAGGTACAATGAAGGGCAACTTAAAGTCCCCACTAGTCGCGTCGCTCTCATTCTATCGCGCCCCACCACAAATAATTACGGAATGTTTCGGACTGAGAGTGAGGTGCGGAGATATACTACACACTACACCGTGGCACCAAAAACTCGATAGGGTAAATAATTAATCTGATACCAGTTGCATTTGATATTTTTTTAAAGATTATTTTATTAATGATATATAATGTATTGTAACATTTTCTTGGTTAGTTAAATCATTATATTGAAGAATTTTTAAAAAATAAAATGTTATAAACCGTTTACTATTTTAAC